GTGATTTTGCAGGTTGCAAAATTGATAGGAAAAGCACCACAGGAGGCTGTCAGCTTCTAGGTGGAAAGTTGGTGAGCTGGACAAGCAAAAAGCAAAACTCAGTGTCCACATCAACTGCTGAAGCTGAATATGTAGCCGCTGGTAGCTGCTGTGCCCAAATTCTTTGGATGAAAAATCAGCTACTTGACTATTAGTTTTCCAAGACTCCTATTTATTATGATAGCACCAGTGCCATTGCAATTGCAAACAACCTTGTTCTTCACTCCAAGACCAAACATATTGAGATCCGATATCATTTTATCAGAGATCATGTTATGAATGGTGATATTGAACTTCACTTCGTTCCAACTGAGTATCAACTCGCTGACCTTTTCTCCAAGCCTCTTGATGAGACAAGATTTAATATCTTGATCAGCGAATTGGGAATKTTRAACACTRAAGATTAWCCTTCAGTCATTAAACATCACTCAGTAAGTGAAATGATTCAGTGCTCTATACTTAACACTGAACTCTTGAGTAAATATATCTACTTTCATCGAATATTCTCTTTTTCAGTGATAAAATATTTTACAAGGTGGTCTCAGTGATTGTCTACACACACCACATCTTAAAGTATATCTTTATACTTTATCTTAAAAATCTAAAACAATCACTGACTCTTTTTCTTCAGTGACCAAAAAGTTTTTTAAATGCCAGTTTCAGTGACTCTCTTCACTGAAACATGATGTCTTAAAATCATCACTGAATACTCTCTTGTTTTTAGTGCTAAATTGTTTAAATGAAGTCTCGCAGTACTTTTTTAAACTGACTGACTCTTCACATTCATAAAACAATTTTGTTTTTAAAAGAAAATAAAAAATGCACGTCTTTATAACGACATTCTCTGTTTTCTATGAGCGACGCTTTGAGACGCACAAAATGACCTGTCATTATGCTACTGATATGTGTTGAGAATTTAACACATAATGCATCCGTTTTACGTCTTTCAAGTTAAAATTAGTTATTTTTCGTTCCCACTTTGAGTCATTTTAATTTAGTTCTTTATATTTCTTGTTATGGAGCTAAAATATTGTGGTTTAACTTGCTGGAGCATGAAAATATAAGCTAACGGATAAATTTTTTGTAAAACAGCCTAATGCTTCAGCATTTCAGCAGCAACCACCTGCTGTGCACACGGTTG